TGAAAGTGGTTGAAAGTGGCTTTCTATTTCGAATGTTTTGTTCGATTTGTTCGAATTTGTTCAAATTAAATTTGAACATAAAATTCGAATATTGGTTCAATTATAGAACGATTGTAAATGTTACAGAAACGTTGAAAATAGTTTGTTTGACTTGACGTGAACAGGAGACGTTCAGAAATAGAATCGGGACCAGGTCTGTAATTAGTCTGGAAACGGTGGACCTAATTCTTGCATTCTGTGAAAACGGGTAAAATTGGTTATAATGTAATTATCTTAATCTTCACTATCGTTACTTTTTAAAAACCCAGCGAAGCGGGTCCTTGCAGCTAGTAAATAATAAAAGAAAAGTGTTCAAAATGATTTATTTTGTACATATTTTAATATTTTTCATTCAAAATATTTTATAAACATAAAAATTGGCTTTTTCTCAAGAGAAAACTTTTCTAAATCATTTATTTTATCGTTAGGTATTATTATTGATATAATAATAGACATATGTCATTGTTTCTCAAAGTACAATATATTTTTTATTTCGCTGTCGATAGCCCGACACGTGTTCCGCAGCCATCTTGTATTTTCTCGCGCGTGTGGGATTGTGGGATCTCTCGTATGAATGGACCTAGTTTCGAGAACTCTCGTCGATCACGATTGAACCTCGTTTCAGTCGAGATTGAAATGGTTGATGGACGTTGCACCAAGGCGAACAGGGTATAAGGCTCTAGTTTAGTAGTGTTACAGAGTATAATACGTATATTTTAATATATTTTTACAAAGAAACAAAACCACTGAGAAATGTTACGTGTGTTTAACAACGGGTTCGGAAAACTTTGAAAATGTTAACAACGGGTTCGGCCGAACCTGTGCAAACCCGCTGAATATCACCACTGTCTATACAGTATAGCAACGATATAATATTACTAAACTCTGCTTGGATTCCCCCTGCTTAATATAATAAATTCCACTAAAATTGCTAATAATCTGGTAAAAGATTTATACTAAATTTATTTTATCTTATTTGTATTTTTAATCTTTGTTTATGTTATCCAAATCTTATACAATATGTATTGTGCATATACACTCAATGATGATTCAAAAACTAAAATTACATTCATTTCCAAGGGTTAAAATGATGACAATAACTCATTAGAAGTATAAAATGTTTCATTAATAAAAAGTAGTTGGTTTCCTCAAATTAACAGTAGTGTGACATTAAATACTAAATTGTCAGTTTGAGAATTTTAATTTTATTTACATTAAAAGAACTTGGAGTTGTTTTCACATTAATTTGTTGTAGTGGTTTTGTGTAATATTTGTTCAATCTTGTTTCTTTTAAAATTTTACAATGTATCTTTGTTTATTTGTACTTTTACAATCCTCTAACCTTTCTCCAAATTTACTTCTGACTGATATCAGGTGGAGCTCAGAAATAACATCTTGTAGTGTTGTGCCACTATAATTCTTGTGTTCAGTGTGTGTATGTATACCTTTCTTGTATTAGGTCCGTTATTCTGTACCTGGCTGGTATTGTAATTGTGAACTTTTTTTTTCCGTTCTTCTGAACCACCTTTTCTTTCTTTCTTTTTTTTTTGTGTGGCACAGCTGCCTTGTTTCAATTGGCTGTGCAACATTCACGTGTGTTGGGTGACGTGGCACAATGGCAGGACATATAAATTGCCATCCCATGTGTGGAAGAGACATTCTTTCTTTTGGCGGACCGGGACTTAGACTAGACGGGCTGAGGTGTGCTGGAGTACGAATCGATCGAGACAAAGGGACAGGAATTCGCCATGGAAGGAATCAATCTGCATCTTCGAAACCACGTGGCCGAAACTATTTGTTAGAGGACTCTGGGATGCAAGGTGAAGTTTTTGTTCAGAGACATACATTAGTTTCAACGAGGGAGCTGCTTCTGTGAAGTGATTGTAAAAAGTATTTTTTTTTCTTTTTACTCATATTTGCAAAAGGAATAGTTACTAATTTGCACGAGCATGTTTTTATTTGTACCTAGTAGTGATAAGCCTTAGTGTAGTTATATTGCAAATCATTAAAATTTTTCTTACTTTCAACCCAAGTCGTTTGTCTTATGTAAAGTCCTCAAGTAACAGTTTTTTACCCAACCTTTTGTCCGGAGTAATCTCGATACTCCTTAGACACTACAATCTGGTCCAATCCACAGGAAAGATGCTTTTTAGTGTAGTTAGCTAGAGTGGTCAAATAATACGCTGAAAACATTTCTAATAAATCTTTACTTTTTACTTGTTAACAAAACAGTTTGAGTTTTAATTTTATTTAGTCACAGTTTTATTTAATTTTCTAGTTTAATTATATTTTTATGCAAATAAGTTAAAGTTTCAAGTGATTTCACACTTTTAAAGATCCATGTGATCTTTAAAAGTGTAAATTACTTGAAACTTTAAAATGAATAAATTTAATGTTAAATAATTTTATTTAACAATTAAAATCATTTACAGTGAAATTCCATTAACCCGGCATATGGTATGTCAGCAAACCCAATAAGCCATGCTGGCTTATTGGGTTAGCTAGCTTGCTGTCTAGCTTATCTTGGGGGTTATTGGTGCATGGTGTAGATCCTGAGTTAAGATTTTCATGTAAAAGTCTTCAAAACGTGAGATTCTTGGAAAAGGGTGTGGGTTCTACTTTTAGAGAGGATAACTGCTAAAATGACCTAATTTTGTGCTAAGTAAAACCAGTTAGTTTATGCATGATTTTCTAAAGACTTTTCCAAAGATATTAGTGCATGAGTTCTATGTGAGAAACAGAAATATTTAGCACACTTGTAATCAATGGAATTAACATGGAAACAGCTACAGTACATTACTGTTCATGTACTTTGATAATTAGAGTACTCTGTATTTATATACAATAAAAGTGTATAAAGCACAAAATAAGAATAGTGTGTTCTTATTTCAAGCCAATCAAGGGTAGGAATAGCTTGGAAAAATTGAAATGGCAGGTTAAACAATCATAAAAAATAGATTTGTGCAGATTTATACATGAAGATATGCAGTGGTGATATTCAGCAGGTTTGCACAGGTTCGGCCAAACCCGTTGTTAACATTTTCAAAGTTTTTCGAACCCGTTGTTAAACACACGTAACATTTCTCAGTGATTTTGTTTCTTTTAAAAAATATATTAAAATATACGTATTATACTTTGTAACACTACTAAACTAGAGCCTTCCGATGCACCATTTGAGCGAAAAAAAATTGTTAAGGAAAAATTTTCTGTTTGCGAACCCTTTGTTAAATATTTCGAATATCACCACTGAAGATATGTAAAATTTGTCCAGGGATTGAAAAAACCAGAAAAGTTCCACTATCCAATAAGCAGCATATTTGATAACACAGCACTGCATCAATCCCAACAAAGCTGGGTTAAAAGAATGTCACTGTAATATTTAAACTTAAAAGCTGTAAAAAAATAACTCATTCTTCTATTTAGCATTTAAAAAACTGCAAAACTTAAAAGTTTTGCAGTTTTTTAAAATGCATGTTTCCATTAAAATTTTCCCCCCAAAAAATTAACTGTTTTATTATAAAACATACTTTTGATCTATCAGCAGTATGCATTGCATCCCAGTGATTAATCAGAGAGTCTTCACAATGAAATGTCATAGTACATGCAGGACAAATCCATCTCTCATTTTCACCAACATTCTTTTCTGGCCACCAAAATACATCTCTTTGTTTATGAAATGGACAATCAAGAGGAAGAGTAACTTTGTATCTGTCTAATACAGGTATAAATTTCTGAAAAATTTTAAAAATCACATTCTTTCAATGTATAAAAATATTACTAAAATTACTGATATAAAACATAAAAATATTACAATTATTGTTTGGAAATGAAATACAGTTTAATCATTTATCTGCTAAGATATAATAATTTATAAATATAAAAAAAATTACTACATGTTTTTTGGAAGAGGCAAAAAAATCTTTAGAAAAAGTTTATTGAATTATAGATAAGATTTGTGAACTAAGAGAATCATTACTAAACACATAATAAAAAAATAAAATTATTTAAACAAAGCACTTTATTATATAGTTCATATTGCTTTAGAGTAAAATGAACAGCTAAAGACTTAAGAATAAAACAATTTATTGGTAAAAAATAATAAAGAGATAACCTAATTTTTCATTTTTATTATGAGACTGCCACATTTAATTAATTTTTTATAACTATTTGTTTTATAAAAATATTTTATAGTAATTTAAAATAATTATAAAAAATACTTTTTTGAAGTGAAATATGTAATAATTTACAGAAGTGCTATCCAATTTTTTCTTGGAAGTAAAAATAAGATTAAAAATATTCTCAGAAAATAAAAGAAAAACCTTGATTATATATAACACTTAAATTGATTTTTTTAGCAACAGACTAACAACTAGTAATGAATCAATGTCAAGTAAATTATTCATTTTGATATAATATTCATAGGAATAAATGAGAAAATAATAGGTAATATATTGTTTATATCTATTTACAAATGTAATTTTATAAATGATATTGAAAATTAATAGAGATAATTAATATTTTCATAATTTTGTAATAGTTATATTTCATCTGTAAATGCTTTCAGAATAATAAACTTAAGTTTAAATATATTGGATTGGAATGTTTAAGATATTTTATACCTCTTTAAAATATTATATATAGCTGATTTGCTATAACCTTTGGCTAAGAAATACTTAACCACCAATGTTTTTAGTGGTTTGCTTTATTTTCATACATTTGTACAATGTGCTCTCTTAATATGTTCTATTTTGAAGCCATTTTCTGAATTGACTCATAAACGTTCAAAAACTTCATGTGCTATAACTGAGCATGTGTAATGATGTAACTTTTGGTGCAAAGATTTTAAAATTATCTTTTTGNAGTGAAATATGTAATAATTTACAGAAGTGCTATCCAATTTTTTCTTGGAAGTAAAAATAAGATTAAAAATATTCTCAGAAAATAAAAGAAAAACCTTGATTATATATAACACTTAAATTGATTTTTTTATCAACAGACTAACAACTAGTAATGAATCAATGTCAAGTAAATTATTCATTTTGATATAATATTCATAGGAATAAATGAGAAAATAATAGGTAATATATTGTTTATATCTATTTACAAATGTAATTTTATAAATGATATTGAAAATTAATAGAGATAATTAATATTTTCATAATTTTGTAATAGTTATATTTCATCTGTAAATGCTTTCAGAATAATAAACTTAAGTTTAAATATATTGGATTGGAATGTTTAAGATATTTTATACCTCTTTAAAATATTATATATAGCTGATTTGCTATAACCTTTGGCTAAGAAATACTTAACCACCAATGTTTTTAGTGGTTTGCTTTATTTTCATACATTTGTACAATGTGCTCTCTTAATATGTTCTATTTTGAAGCCATTTTCTGAATTGACTCATAAACGTTCAAAAACTTCATGTGCTATAACTGAGCATGTGTAATGATGTAACTTTTGGTGCAAAGATTTTAAAATTATCTTTTTGAATTCAAAAGTTATGATGCTTTAAACTCATTTCAGATTTTTTTGTCTCACTCTGTTGTAATTAGTATATATTGTAGAATAGTTGTACGCAGTAATTTTAAGATAAATAAAAAAATACAACATATGTATTAAATAACAATAAATAATATTAAATAATTTTAATAAAAATAATCATTAGAAAGAGAAAAGAAAGTGTTAAAATCAGCTCTTGATAAGCACTGTAAAACTTCAGCATTTTTTTCAAAATAAAAAACAATAACAAGATAATCTCTCTCTTTTATTATATAGTAATTACAGGTAATCCCTTGCTTAACACAGTTTTGATTAATGCAAAATTTGATCAACACACAAAATTAATTGTGACAAACCATTTATATGTGGCAGAAATTTTAATTAATGAGCCTTGAGTCTTTATTTAACATAGATATGTAGTTTAATTATGAAAGTTGTGAAATTTAACACATTACTGCTAATGTTATATTTGTATTCTTTTAAGAAATAGTTTAGCTTATTTTAAAACTTTTTAAAATAAGCTTCTATACAATTCAATTTTGTTTACTTAAAATCAAATCAAAATGTCTGCAGATGAAATGCATATCAGGCATATTAGGTATGCTTTTTAAGTTTTGTAAAGGATATACAGCATAAAGCACTACATAAACAGTAAAAAATACTGTTAGTGTTTAGGGGGAAGATTGTCTAATAAATAACAACTCATGAACTTGCAACAAATCTGTGTGTCATTGACGGGATGATTGTGTTCCATATGCATTAATTGAAAAAAACAAACTTGATCAAGTATACTGTGTTCATATGCATTAATTGAAAAAAACAAACTTGATCAAGTATTTGTCTGATGAAGTAGGTAATGCTAAGATTTCATTTTATTTAAATTAGTCACTCATTTTTATCATAGAAAACCTTTTTCAGATGAAAAAATAAAAATAAAAATATTTGTTATTAACTGAAAATTTGTTCTAGTAGGTCATGACTGTTCAGTCAAGTATTGATGTACTACTACTGTATTTGATTAATGCAATTTTGATATATGTTAGCATCAAGGGATTAATTAATCATGTTAATCAAGGAATACCTATATATAAGTTATTATACGAAATTAAAATTAATGCTTTTATCAAAACCAGCATTGATCAAAATGATATATTAAAAAAAAAATGATTCTATTAGAGTGGCTGAGTGCCACATCCTCCTGCAACAGCACCGTTAAATAGTGCAGTGCCATATCCCACAACTCCCACTCTTAGAACAGTCCTGCTCATTTGGCCACTGCATCTTATGATTTCATGAATTGCTTGAGACATCACTGCACTGTTTAGCAGTGTTGTCACAAGCAAAGTGGCTGCATGGTAGGAATTAGTAAGTCAGAGAAGATGTGCAGAGAACTCCATAACTTGTAAATATGAAAAAGACAAAAATTTCTAAACTTGAATTAATTAATTTTAATTAAATTAAAGATTTATATTTTATTAATGTTATACATTGTTTGTTATGTAANAATAGCAATCTTATCTTTTTTTTCACATGTAGTAGAGAAATTTGTAATAAGATACATAATGTGGTTATAATAAAATATTGTGCAATTATTTTCATATAATTAAAATTAATATGTATTTATTTTTTAGAAAATACAAGGGAAGCGGCGTATCCACCACTTCTAATGACGGCACGCCACTGTTGAAAATGGGGAACAACTTATAATATTACAAATTTGAATACATTCCAGTATTCAATTTGAAGTGATCTGAAGATGAGATGAAGACATCTTGCAAAGTGTTTAATTGAGACATAAAATAAAAGGGACTTCTTCTAACTAGCTTTTATTAATAAAGGCATTTTTGACTCATCACAAGTCATTATCATCATTTCATATGTTGGAAAATGGAATATAAAAACATTTTTTAAATCACTGTTGAGTGTAAATGCATGATACATATTGTATAACATTGGATAACATAAAGAATAAAAATAAATTTAGTATAAACGTCTTACCAGATTATTCACAATTTTATTGGCATTTATTTTAAAATTCTTGTGTCAAGGGAATCCTATTTCCAAACTCAAAGACTAGAAAGATGAACTTTCTTGTATCAAATTAATTCCTAAAAAATTATGGTTTCTCATAAAACATAATTAACAACATTATAAAAGCTTGCTACAAAACAAGCCATAGAAAAAGATAACCAAATTTCCATTTCAGTCACGGGCAAGTCAATAGCCAATATAGTGGCACCTTACCTAAAATCCTTAAATTATAAACTAGCTATAAAAAGGTTGCCTAAGGTGATGAACATCTTACACTACAATAAATAGAAAATAAATGCTATATTAAAATCAGGTATATATGCTGTTGCATTAAAAAAACACAAGTATTTTTTAAAATTGATCTACCACTAGATTTACTTAAAAGAACATAGCTGAACACATGACCCTACTGGTTTTCAAACTTTGCTTACAAATTGGGCATGTAAAAAAATATAGGTTTTCTGAAATACTTCCTTACTCATAAAAGAGTGTAGAAATTGTTCTATAATAAGAATATTACAGCTAATTTACATATAAACTATCTCTAAACATCTATACACACCGATGATATTCGAAATATTTAACAAAGGGTTCGCTAACAGAAAATTTTTCCTTAACAATTTTTTTCGCTCAAATGGTGCATTAGCAACATTAGTGCAAAAACTGACCTTAAGATACCCATATAAATAAAAAGATGCGTTCGCAAAATTAAGTCAGTTAAAATTTAACATTGTTTATGCCAGAACTATATATTTTTTTTATCTATATATATATAAAAATGGACATGTATGTCCCTATATTTCACCTTTTCGCCAAAACTACACATCGCACGTGAATGGTGTTTGTATGTGGTGATAGCCCCAAGTCTCCATTCATGCATAGGCATGGTTGCATCTCGATAGCTATAAGGGTGCGGGAGATATGAGGCTGAAAGTGATTGAAAGTGGCTTTCTATTTCGAATGTTTTGTTCGAATTTTTCGAATTTGTTCGAATTTAATTCGAACATAAAATTCGAATATTGGTTCGATTATAGAACGATTGTAAACGTTCCAGAAACGTTGAAAATAGTTCGTTTGACT